GTAACTGTTAATAAAATACAAGTTTCATACACAAGACTGGAAATTGTGGATAAGTTTAGAATATTTTCCTGTTTCTACTCTGTTTCAGCTGTCACATGGACTTTCTGAAGTAAATTATTTTTTGGTTCATCCAGTGAAACATCTGGCTTGACTATCAGAGAGGGGATTGGATGAGGGATTAGTGTCTGTTTATTGTACATAGTACCAAAGATACAAGAGGATTCTGGGAGCCAGTAGACTTTCTGCACATTTAATTCGGCTGTACCAGAGTTCTGAAGACCTTATCCAGACAGTCTGGGGACATTTTGTATGATGCAGCAAAGCAGCCTAAGCCCTTCAGTTGTGAAGGAGTAGATTTCAGAACTGTGTAAGATGAGAAATCCTTCCCCATCTGAATTAGGCTCACAAGTGATTTATCAGTTTAGATCAGCTGGCATACAGACTATTCTTACTGTTTGGCATGTCATTCATATTTTACATCATCACATGCCGTGTGATGATGTATCTGGTGTCATCCTGGGCTAAAACACTATCTATTTAATAAATGTTGAATCTATTTTAGAGTAACAAATTGCAGCCAGTATTTTTACCTTGATTTATTTGGCCTAATTGTTATGCAGAAATATGAAATACCGTACAAAAAAAGTGCAAGTTTTTCCTAAAATATCAGAAATTTAATGCTGCTATTACCCACAATCCTTGCTGCTGTTTTGAGAGCTCTTATTCCTGTTGAACCTATGCCATTGTCCTCATAATTTTGGAAACATAATTCTTCATAACAAGAATCATTTTCACAGTCTGAAAGGTAGTTAAAAGGCTTTTGAGGGCTGAAAAAGCTATTGCACAGAGTCATGATTTGACACTTCACTAAGAATGTTATAACCAAGCCAAAATAAAGGAACTGTTAGCTGGAAAACATATGGTACAGCGTAAAGGATTCAGCATTGGGCTTTTATACCCGCAAGTTCTGGGTCAACTTTCAGGAGAAAAGCTTTATGTTCTGGAACTCTGACTCAACTGAGCAAGTTGCAACTAGGTTTGTGGGAATGCATGCAGAAGTGTCAGAGAATAGAGAGAAATCTGCACCCATTATTTCAGGTACTTGAAAAACAGACAACTAAACCTCGGTGCTTATGGAAGGCCTATACTGTATTATGCTGATCATGTGATCCCAAATGCCTTAATCTCGTGATTGTTAAAGGGGTTCAGAACTTCTAGAGATTGTAGTAAAGGCATTAGTGTCCTCCTGGTCCAAGTTCCTGCCAGTGCAGGGTTGTTTCATGTTTAATATTTTCTAGGGTTCTGTAGAGTATATTCTAATGCTGGGTGTGAAGTGCTGCTTCAACCACTTACATTAGGTGATTAGTCCAGAAGCTAAGACACCAAACTGTGGAGAGAACTTTCCTTATTTCTGTCTAATTATTTTATCTAATCTATCAATATTTGCTCAGAGTGTCAGCAACTGTGGTATTTTGTCACCAGTTTGAGTGAAATTAACCCACAAAATATCATGTTCTGCTAAACTTTTCTTCAAGTTTAATGGCATCTCTTGGCAGACACATAAGAATGGCCATACTGAGCAGACCAAAGGTCCATCCAGCCCAGTATACCGTCTACTGACAGTGACCAATGCCAGGTGTCCCAGAGGGAGTGAACCTAACAGGCAATGATCAAGTGATCTCTCTTCTGCCATCCATCTCCACCCTCGGACAAACAGAGGCTAGGGACACCATTCCTTTCCCATCCTAGCTAATAGCCATTAATGGACTTAACCTCCATGAATTTATCTAGTTCTCTTTTAAACCCTGTTATAGTCCTAGCCTTCACAACCTCCTCAGGCAAGGAGTTCCTCTGATTGACTGTGCGCTGTGTGAAGAAGAACTTCCTTTTATTCGTTTTAAACCTGCTGCCCATTAATTTCATTTGGTGGCCCCTAGTTCTTATATTATGGGAACAAATAAATAACACCTTTAATATAAGAGCATAAAAGTGTGTGACCAAACAATATGAAACAGATGAGCATGGTACATTTGAAGGCATTTCTGACCTCTTTCATTAGGTTTTTCGTTTGCTTGTTGTCTTTCTTGCTATGAAGAACTAACAAGATAAGCTACTTTATTTGGAATAGTGAAGGAACAACAAGGTTCACTTTCTGTAATGCATCGTTTGTTAAATATAATAAAGGGGAAAGAATATGTAAAAAATTACTCCTTTTTTCAGTTCTCTGAATCCAAGCAATTAGTTAGATCAGTAAAATAAATTGGCCTGTTTCTAGGAGCACTTTTAATTTCCATGAACAGCTGAATATAACTGTGGGGCTTTTATTTTATCGTTTTTAGTGAAGAATCTCCTCATCAGTTTAACAGGGTGATTCTCCCAGGCTTCTGCTCTAATGTTTGCACTGCAGCTGGCAGTTTGGGTTTTTCATGCACTGTTCTTACCAATGTTTGGAAGGTTGATGACAGTCAGGAAATTGCTGCTAGCTGAAATCCACCTAATCTGCCCGGCGCTTTGCAGAATTTGCAGCATGTGGGTCGCAGCCATGCTGAAAGCATTTAGCTGTGAACTGGCAGGCTGATGACTCTACTTGCTCTTAAGAATGCATCAACTGTACGTATGCCACAACAACTCGCTAACATTAGGAAGCCACCTGCAGTATTGTGAAAAGTTTGCTTGACTCAGATAGATAGCAAATGATTCTTCAGTATTAATTATTCTGGCATTAGAAGAAACAGCCTTGTTAGAAGTACCAGGGATGAGCAGAATACAATTTATGCACTGGGCACTCTTGCACATAGGATTGTGTGTTTGTTTTCATGGCTCTCATCTACATCCAGATTGGTATCTGTCTTGAACAGAGACCACCACTGTGGGTATGTATTGGAAGAGAGGGAAGGGAGCAGCAGGGAAGAGAAGAGGAAGCAGTCTTGCAGTCCCTTTTAACTCTCTTTTCACTCATTTTTAAATTCCAAATCAAGAGCATAGAGATCAGAGTACTGTAGGTATAATTCAGCCAGAAATCATCTTCCTCCTCCTGCCGCAAGGGGAGATGGTATCTGTAAATCTCTTCCTTTACCTGACACTAAATGACAAGTATAAATCCCTACAAAGCCATCCTTTCATTCTTCCAAATAGCCTGTGAAGGAAATGAACCATTAATGAGACTCAGAGAGGGAAAAATAAGGGTAGAAGTGTCTTTGTTGATTCACTAATTGTGTGATAGAGTCATTTCCTTTATTTACTTTTTTTTATTGTGTATTTTACTTGGTATGACTATAATTTTAATGCAAAATATCTTGGGTGTGATTTTCAGGTGTTGAGGGATGCAATAATGTATACATTTATGTGCCAAATTTGCACACATAACTAGAAAACTGCATGCATTAAAAGCAGAAATGACTAATGCTCAAGCTAGGGAAGCAAATGCATATGCATTTTACAGCTTTTATTTCTGTAGGTAAACCGCCAAAAATAGGCCCCTTGTTGCGAAAGACATCTTTGAGAGTATGTGGAATCATTGAAATGATCAGCTGGGTCTTCCTGCGTACTTTCTGGTGTGTTTTTCTGACTTAAATGGTGGTATTCCAGAAACACTGTGGTGTGTGTGGGTTTGTACAGGAGAGGCGGGAAGATGAAAGGTTGGGGATATGGTAATGGAGCGTGAGATTGGCCAGTATGGAGATGCATCTCCCGTAAGTAACTACTAGCAGCAGTACTTTCAGGCGTGCCATTGACAGTATATCAAAGGCAAAATATCTTTGGAGTGTGGACCTGACAACAGCCAGGCAGACGTGGGCATTTGAACATTTGCCTGTCTCAAACTTAATCAAAGCAGCTCCTGCGTAAATGTTTCCAGGCTCTCAATTAGAAACAATAAATGGAGATGTGGGATGTAGGAAAATCAGATGCATTGTCATGTGCTTCTCCTGCGTTTCTCTGTTGCTGCATGGGAAGGTTTGACTTCCACTGTGACATGGTGGGCAGACAATGACATTAGCTAATTTGGCTCAGTGTAGCATTGAACATTAATATGAATTACAAATGGGTGCCTGAGCTCTCATACTGACTTTTGTTTAGTCAGTTATTTGTTCCAGTGTTAATGTGCCACACACGTGCAGGCCCCATTAGACTTGGAAATGTTTATTTTCTTTTTATGGCTTCTAAAAATCTAAAGTTTTGTTTTAATACGTTGGCCATTGATCTGTGGTGGTGATTTTCACTGCTTTCCACAGCTGTATGTTTGGCTTGGGTTGAGGGAAACCCTTTGCAACTTTTCTGATATTACTGCAGTATTAGTGCATATTGAACATCGTCGAGGCACCTGGCATTTTCAGTGAACCAGCTTATACAAAGTAACTCCCATCTATGCTCCCAAATCTTTTCTCAGTTTCATAAGTGAATCATGTTTGTTGTTGTGAAATATTCATATATCCTTATTTTCCCCTCTTGGGCTCCATTGCACTTACTGGGTCAGGCTGAGATTGCAACTGGTGGGGGCAGAATACCTCCTAAAATGCTGCTTGTGTGATATTCTGTGCCCAATTCAGCTGTCATAAGACGTTCAGACCTCGTCCAGACAGGCTCCTTTAAAATGTACACATCCCTGGTTCGTATTTCAAGATTGTTAGAAATTAACAGTGCAACATCACCATGCTGAATTCTATACTTTTGCATCGTCAACAGCGGGTCTTAATGGTTAAAACATTTCATACAGGGAGAAAGGAAAAAAGACAGGCTGAAAAATAGTGAAATACAGTTTTTGGAAAATGTCCAGTTTCTGCATTAAAGACATTTTTCAGCACCAGACAAAGTCTGAATCATAACAACTCATTTAATACCATGTGCCCTCCTGAAAAGAAAATGAGATCAGTAGTTAAATGAAATGGCTACAGATCGTGGTCATGGTGCATGAGATCAATAAAAATGATAATTCAGAGAGGGATGAGTGGATAGTAAGCTGGACTGTTACTTACTATTCTTTTGTTTCCCGTATCTTTCAGAGTGCTCTATGGAAATAAGATCACTGAGATTCCCAAAGGCCTTTTCGATGGACTTGTCTCTCTGCAGTTGCTGTGAGTATGATTTCTTCTTTTACTATTATTCAGCCTAATCAGATTTTTAGTTTTTTCAGCTTCTAGTTTTAACTTCAGAAAATCCCTTATTGGCCCATCACCTTATGCACTGAAAACTCATTGAGACACTTCACTGACTAGGATAGCAATGGGGTGAAGAGGAGAAAAAGAGAAAAGGTGAGTGTGATTTTTCAGCTCGGTAACTGTATCAGGCAGCTGATACAGTAGATTAAGTTTGCGGGAGGAAGAGGAAGAACACATTAATTCTAAGAGGGGAAGTATCTTGTTGGTGAATGAAAAAACTCAAGATCTGAAAGTCACCACCAAGTGCCAGTAAGATGATGCCAGTTTATAATTTTTATACTACTTTTCATATTTTCTATTTATTTGTAACATGTGTGGGTGAATGTGTAGATCCTCACTGACAATCATGTTGCAGATAGCCTGCGCTCATAAGCAAAATAGTAATATTTAAGGATATTGCAATTACCTGCAGTGTCTAGTTCCATATCTTTATTATTTTTATTACATTGGTTGTGGATCCATTTGAATGCAAATGGTCTGTCCCGTGCCATTAGTATATTTACATAGTCAAGTAGTTTAAAATGCAGATTTGGTTTACACTAAAACAATGTCATGATCTAAGGAAAGATCTACTCTGGATTATAAATATATTCATTTTTCATTAACCCACTGGGGAAAAATACAGATGGAACAGAATTAAAATCCCAGATCCAAGCCTTCTCCACTTTGTGGGAACAAAATTTAGCACCTTGAACCTATCTCGAGAGAGAGAAATCAGCCACCATTTCAGCCATCCAGTAGAGGGGGCAAAAGTTAAATTGATTTAAACTGTATTCCCGGAGCTCGGGTTTGCATCCCTGAAGATGTGCTTAGACGAAGAAATAGATGAAGTTGATCCATATAGGTTAGCATCACATAAAACACATACAGGGAATGCAATGGAAAATAGGGAAATCAAGTATTTCTAGGTGGAAAACAACAAAATTAGTCAAAAGACTTCTTATTTATAAGTCTCAGTCTGTCTCAACATACACTGAGTTGAAAATCCAAATAATAACTATTATTATTTATAGTACTGTATTACTCAGAGGCCTCAAGCTGTGTCATCACTCCATTGCACTAGAGGCTGTACAAAGACAGAGATAGATTTGGATTATAAACTTTTTGGTACAGACAAAAAGCTAAAATGAGTTAAAATATTTGTAATTTTGCTATAAGCGATAATCCACAGGGGATTATTCTCCTCTCACTTCATGTGTGTAATTTAGTCAATAGGTTTTTCAGTTGCAAACCTGGATCACCTTTCTCTGGAAAGAGACAAGATGAGAAAGAGCACACGAGGTGGATTTATTATAAGTCTTCAGGAGAGAATTCTGCAAACTGTTCCTCTACTTCAGGCAATCAGTTACCTCCCGTTGCCCTTTGCACACTCCTTTCCTGTTAGCCTGCACCATTCACAGCAAGTCCTCTATATCTTAAATTACTTTTGGTCCCAGAATGTGCACTAGGTATGGAATAAATATGCAGGCTTTTTTTGTTTTGTTATGCATGAGGACAGTAGACCCTGAAGTATTCTGAAACTTGGATGCAGTACCAATTGATACAAGAGGCACATTAGTTATTGTAGTTCTCTAACAGCAGCATACAGTTCAGTGAAGGAACTTCAAGCAAAAAGAGCCTTTAACTCAAATAATCCTCAATCTAGTTATGGGTGTGTGTGTGTGTGTTTGTTTGTTTTTGTTATGTTGGAAGAAAGTATATGAAGAATTCAGCTTGGTCAAAATCTGTTCACACGGTGCCTTTTACAGCTGTGAATTTAAAAGGACGCTATGTCATTGGATTCAAAGCTGGACACGTTACAGATGGGTTCCTTCTCAGTAGCAAAAAGAAAGATCACTTAACATATGGCTATCTAAGTGTCCTGTAAAAATGTGTCTGTAGAACCTCTGAATGAAACATAAAGATAGGTTTACTTACTGCACTTATATTTATATAATAGTCCTTCTGTGTATGTAACACCGTATTTTATGTTACTTCTTTAAGCCCAAATATTGTAATACTACTACTGAGATTAGCTAAAGTGACACTTTTTTGTTAAAGTGACAAAATCCATGTAATGGGAAATAGTTCAAAGATACTGTTGTTAAACCATTTGAGCCGCATCAAGATGAGAAGATCTAAATGGATAAATCTTAAAAGATTGTCCGAGTTAGGGCATTCATGGATAATGTTACTTTGGGGGCTTTTAAATGACTTTTTGAAGGTATTTGGAATGTAAAGTAGCTGTTGGCAAAGATAAAGTTGAATGATCATGCTTAAATGCAAACAAATGTCTGCACATTTTTCTGACTGTGGCTTTGAAGCAGCTATTACATATTTGTTTGTTATATTTTAATGGATCCCTAAAACATAAATGGCATGGATTGGTTTTAGTCCTGCTGTTGAACAGTTGGAAAACTGCCCTCTGATTAGATCTGATTTAGCATTCAGTGAGCTCTAGATTGGATTTCTTCTTATTAGTCTGGAGACACACTGATAAAAATGCTCTGATTAGAATACATTGGTAGCCAATGTAATTTTCTAAGCTTGAACTGGACCATTTTTGAAAATGTATCGGTACATTGTAAAGCAGTGTGTGCTGTTAGGAAGGGAGGGTGAGCATGGGTCCTTCTCAGAGCTTTCAGGTTTTGGTTTAGGAGGAAAATCTCATAAATTGCACAGCAGATGCTACTCAGTTGTTTGCTCTCAATTACGCTATTCTTTTAAGCCCCACAAAAACTTTTCTATCCTTGTGTTTTGTATATAAAATAATAAAGTAGGGCCACATGCGACCTCTCTTAATTAGGAAGAATAGTATCTTAATTCTGCAAGTAGTTCTACTAAAATCAGTGGCCTACTTTTACAGCAAGGTGCTGCTCAGCTTCAGTATGGATGGTAGAATCCGACCCATAATACACCTCTACCCCAATATAACGCTGTCCTCGGGAGCCAAAAAATCTTACCGCGTTATAGGTGAAACCGCGTTATATCGAATTTGCTTTGATACTCCGGAGTGCGCAGCTCCACCCCCCCGGAGCACTGCTTTACCACATTATATCCAAATTCGTATTATATCGGGTCGCGTTATATTGGGGTAGAGGTGTATCTTTAACAATCCTGTCCGTCCCTTGAATGTGGGAAAGATCATAATTTTAGTCTACTTTTAGACCACCTAGAGTGGTGGTTAGAATTCTGTGGGCGAGGCATATATACTATCGGCAGTAAGGCATAGTTAGACAGTATCCATCTTTTCTTTTTAAATTTAACTTTATTACCCTCCTGAATTAATTTAAAATTTGGAGGATAAATGTAATTTCTTAAGTCTGTGCCATGATTAATTTACTGATTGGCTGACCTAACGTATAGTTATAAATAACCCTATAATTGGATTTCAATTAGAATGCTGCTCTCCCAGATTTTACTGTTCCATAAATACACAAGTGAAACCAGCAATATCCATGGAATCCAGTTACAATACAGATTCTAGCATCCTAATGAGCAAGTGGGACCTCTCTTCTTGGACTGTATCAAGCTCAAACTAGTCACGTTCTGAACTTCTTGTAGCCCAAATAGTAAAGATTCTGGGTGGTTGTTCTTCACCCTCAACTTCTTTCATGGACGTGATGATCATGTTCTTTCTACTCAGCTTATCAGGCTGTATCAAGTGCCTCTCGGGGTTTTAGTGGACTAAGATTTTCCTGTAGCAAGGTATACTATTTTCCAGGAAGGAGAACTGGAGTGTGAATTCATTAGTGACCTGTAACTTGCGTTTCCAGTTTGTGGCAACAATCTATAGAAGGAGAACGCAGCTGTAGAACAGCATTTGCTTTATTAGCATTGCATGTCTGACATGTATATGAATATTACAGAAATGGAAAGTGCCTCAGTTGGAGATGGATGTTTTCATGTAAATATTAGCCACAGTCAGTTTTACTACCTTTCCAGGAGGCTTTAAACTATTCTTGGTCTTTCTGGAGGCTGGAATAAAATGAAAGCAATTTAGTCATCTGTGTTTCAATTTTCTTGGAACATGGACAAGACCTTTCAAGAATTCCTGAGTTTCCCAAATAACATGCCAATCACAATGCAGTAGGTAAAACTTAAAACCCCACGGCTCGTTCTTTCTCTGCAGCAGTTTGACAGATAAGCTTTATGACTACGGTACTCTGCTTACCCCCTCATGGCTAAATCTGCAACACCATCCTGCAGCGAAACAGAGCTATGATTCAAATGGTTCATGCCAATGAATTGTGGATAAAGCACATAGAGTCTAACTGTCCTTTTCACTTCTGAACAATGCACTTTATGCAGCCATATTAAAACAAACATTTCCAGACCGTTTTTATTGCCGTCAAACACCACATGCTTTGAGGTATCTTCGTCCCTGGAGCCAAAAGGATATCATAACATTTTCTGTTTAAAGAGATTAGGTACCTAAGTAGGGAATGTAATCTGGTTTATCAAGTGTCTAACATGTATCAGTTTTCAATAAACCTTGTTCCTTAAGGAAATTTGCCTTGCACTGTCACTGGTCATACTAGTGCTGTGATGTGTTGATCTTAAATCTTGAGAGATTGAGCTCGCTAAGGCCAGTTGGACAATTATGCACAAGAAAAGTTTCCCAGAGTGGTTTCTGTTCTTTTGTATCTAGCCCTGTACTTACTCTTTCCATACGCCGGTGTGCTGGAGAGCTTGTACCTGGAAAATGATGGGCTTCTTGTAGCTTCACCTCCATAACAATCCACAAGAAGCTTACGGTTCTCTTCTCATTTTATATATGTATGTGATTTCAGTGAGCATCAGAGTTAAATGTGTGCATTGAAGGGGGAGTGAGCTATAAACATACTAATGCCTGTAGACTGAAGTATAAACAGATAAAACACATTTTAAAGGTGTTCCAGAATTAGAGATGGGCTCAAGCCAAAACCCCAGTTCCA